TGTAAATGACATAGGCTACAAGCATGTAACTGAGTGACACTGACTACAAGCATGTAACTGAGTGACACAGACTACAAGCATGTAACTGAGGTGACACAGACTACAAGCATGTAACTGAGTGACACAGACTACAAGCATGTAACTGAATGACACAGACTACAAGCATGTAACAGAGCGACATAGACTACAAGCATGTAACAGAGTAACACAGACTACAAGCATGTAACCTTAACATAGACTACAAGCATGTACTACAAGCAACTGCATTATTCTTCAAATTCCCTAAACTAATAATGAATGTTACAATTTATTCACTTTGATTAACACAATAACATTGATAGAAATATTTTAAAACAAACAACTTTCATGAAAACATACCTTATTTGTCATTTTATGTAAGATTTGTAAAAACTTTCCATGCTTTTTCCCATCTTCGGTTAAATTATAGAAAGTGTCTGGCCAAAACCAAGGACTTTTCATTCGATCCTGCAGGACTGTACTCATGCTAGATTTGTTGTTTTTAACAAATAAAAATAGTTAAAAATAGCTCAATATTTTATTTAATGTTATTATTATCATTATAATTAGTACCATAACATCTTTATTAGAAGCCGTACCCCTGATAGAAGTCGCATCCATTCTTTTTGAATAAAAAATTCATCATTTCTCACATGTGTAGATACTCCAATAGAAGCCGCATTCTTTCCATTGCATTGTACCATTTTAATGGAATCTGTGGCTTCTAATACAGATATAACAGTAGTACTGTAGTAGCAGTACTAGAAATGTTGTTAATGATAAAACCACTCAGAAGTGGTCAGATTGGCAGCAATTGAGATACATATACTGTAAATCGTTCTAATTTGGTGAGACATTTTACTAATTTCATAAGTCACAGTCAATCATATTTCCCATATTATGCCTCCACAAATGCCTGAAAATCACAAAAATGTCCACCTGTCAAAATTAACTAGTTTACAGAAAAAGCCACAAATAGGTCGCTGTAATGATTTGAGGCTATGACGTTTAGTTTAGTTATTTGCATAATAATATTGATACATTGTCATGGAACATCTCGTGAGTATTTACACTCAGTTCCAGGCCTAGCAGTTGAACTATAAACACCTTAGCTACAAGTGCTCCTCTCCAGTGCGTTATTCTCCTCCCGATTTGGTGACCAATACTCATTTGGTTCACTCTACCTTGAGAAGTCTGTTCTCAGTTTATAGTCTCAAAAAAACAAAACTTAAGTAAACTTTTATTCATTCACAAATGAAATGATTACAATTCCTGATAAATAAATGACATCAAAAACGGAAAACAAGCACTACATACCCAGACACAGCCTGCACATAGTCACTGTCACAGTCCACTTGTGCATTCGTTTTAATTCCCATAGCAGTTTCTAGAAGAAAACAAAATATAAGCAAAGATGGTGACAATAATTTTCCAGAATCTAATTTTTTTAAGAGGTAGCAGACTTATTTTTATGACAGAGTATTTTCAATTTTCTGCAATTTTAAGCTAAAATAGGCTACAATTGATCTACAAAAATTTATGTTTTTCTGGTTAATGTTTTCTCCTGACATTAATATGTAATGCCATTTTTTTTAAAAAGAATTTTAGGAATTAATAATGAATTTGACAAATATTATTATTCACTGATTTCAAAAGAAAACAAAACTTCTTACACAAGTTACATCTTATAAATTTACATAAGACTGTCGTCATTTTTGTCATATTAGGCACTCTTTTATTAAGTGGCCATAGAGGGCATACATTTTTGAGCTGCCATGGAAGGCATACTTTTATGGAGTTCCTATAATTAGGCGAAGAACCTAGAACACCAAGCCGGGGTATTTGAAACTGAAATTGTCATTTAAGCGTTAGGCCGTCGCTGATTGGCTGCTGAGCTGGAATGCCAATTTTTAGTTTCAAATACCCCTAGGAAAGTGTTCTAGTTTCTTCGTGTAATTAGGTGTTCGTATGCAAGGGATTTTTCCCACACAAAAACGACGAATTAGGCCGAATTTTGTTATCGGTTGGCTTAATATAACCCCAACGGACCGTATTTTTGTGAAAGATTGGTATTTTTGTCCTGATTTGTAGGAATCTGAAAAACGCGTTTCACAACTTGTCTCTTATTTAGTTTTATGCGTCATTCAAGATGGCGGCCCCCCATATAATAAATATCATATTTATTTAATTATCACGTGTGCGGCAGCTGACTGTGACTTTTATGGCTGCCAATAGAGGGTACTTTTTTGAGTTGCCATAGAGGGCATACTTTTATTGAGTTGCCATAGAGAGCATACTTTTATTGAGTAGCAATAGAGGGCATACTTTTATTGAGTAGCCATAGAGGGCATACTTTTATTGAGTAGCCATAGAGGGCATACTTTTATTGACTTGCCATAGAGGGCACACTTTTATGAAACTGCCATGGAGCTGCCATAGAGGGCATTCTTTTTTTATTGACTTGCCATAGAGAGCAAACTATTATTGTGTGGCCATAGAGGGCATACTTTAAAATGCAAAATAAGAGTTAATGCACTATGATTTTGTTTGGGTGTGATACATTGAATTATTGTTGGATGTATGATAGTAATGTCTTGAAAATGAATGACTTACCACAGATGATGTCCAGCACACAGTGTGTTATCAACGGAAAGACATTAAATTCTTCTTTTCCCGCATAATTATTCAACTTTGTGACCAAGACTGATGAATGTTCATTGAAAACACCTACAAAATCATTCAAAATCTTGAAATGAAAGGTAGGTGTTAAAAGCCTGCGTCGACTTTTCCACTTATCACCAGTACTGAAAAATTAAATTGTAAAAATATACATGATTGTAACAGAAAAACTATCTAAACCTTGACCAGTTTCACGAAGTATACACACAAGGACTGTATAGTTTATACATGAACTGGCCAAAAATAAGTGGTACAGTACGGTTTTTCTTGGGGTGTTATTCTTATAATATTATACTTTAACCGCTTTTGTCATATTTCTTTGGTTTTTTGCTGAAAAAA